CATTGTTTACTTCTTGAAGGTTTGAGTTTATCCTGGTATCTTAAAAGGCATCCAAGCAGGGAGTCACATAGAATAAATTAGCATTCCTCATTATGGGTCTGTGGACAGAAGTAAAAGCTAGGTTGAAAGAACCTTACATGATGTCCCATGGGTCAGTCCCTAACCTTTCAGCTCCAAGGCACCCCGGTAAAGCCAAAGTCCTTTGGATTCAGATGCCAGATATCTCTGGCCTTGTGTGGACACCAGTGCTACTTTCTCTGGACTTCTGGATTTTTCCCTTTGTCTACAACCCATGTCCTAGACACGGGTCTGGAGCTGGGATGCCCTACTGGCTAGACACCTCTAACCAATTATAGAATCATCTAAACTTATGGCATGCCTGTCTATGGAGGTGCAGTAAGAGTTTTCCTCCATAGATCTCAGTGAAACACTGATAAATTTTCCCGCCTCTTGGGGACCCTGGCTGAGTAATTTGACAGATAGTCTTCAGTCATGATCCACTTTTCAGGGGAGTGGTTCCTTTGGGTCCTGATACGTTTTTGCACCAGCTGTTGCAAGTAGGGTAGGTGGAGTTTGCTCACTTGCAAAGGCCTGAGGAAAGTCTAATGGGTAAGGAGCCAAGTAGATAGCAGTCTAAGAACTGGAATAGCATGAGTCCCTAGGGAAAGAGACCAACACTGGGAAGGCTATCTGAGCCACTATTACCCTGGAAAAGGTGGGATTCTGGACACCAAAGCTACTAGTAGCCCAAGCCTGGCCTATCTTTAATACTTGAGCTCTTGTACAGTCCCTTCACCCCGTCCTAGCCCCTTTCCCTGTCCCCAACTCCCTGCATTTCCATCCACCCACTTCACAAAAGGATAGATGAAAACTTCTTCAAAGTGAAAGTTGAAGAACATTTCAGAGGAGTTAAAAAGATCCTGCTTGTTTGCTTTATGAAAGATGGGGATGAAACGTGAGAAAGGATGGAAAGAACAATTTAGAGGGCCTCCTTCAGGAGAAAGTTTTGTTGCTTTTGTGTTTGTTTGTTTGTGGCAGGGTCTCACTATGTAGTTCAGGCTGTCTTGAACTCACTATGTAGCCCAGGCTGGCCTTGAACTCAGTGATCCTCCTGCCTTAGCCTCCCAAGTGTTGGGATTACAGGCGTGCGCCACCACACCTGGCAGACTAAAATGTTTAGGATTAGGAGATGCTAGCAACTAAAAAGGAAACCCCAAGCTTCAGGGGTTCATGGCAAAAGGGAAATTGTACACACATAAACCTGAGCAATGTATGGAAGTTTTTTTGCTCCTGGCAGAGCCTAAAAACAGGAAAGAGAAGAGAAAAATGTAAAATTTCCCCAAAGAGACTTTACCTCCTGGCTGGCTTACCAGGATGTATCTGTGGGTGATAGGATCTGGGGCAGTTCCTAGGTTCTTGTGCATGATGAGTAAAGAATTGGATGTGGCATTCAACTTAAGGGAAAAGCAGCAGAGTCTATTAAGGTGATAGTATACTCACATTGAGCGGGCTTTTGCCTGCATAGAGAAATGGCATGAGCACTGAGGGCACAAGGTTCGGGGTTTAATTGTTACATTGGTTCTGTACCCCGCTGGGGTCACCTCCCGTTGGGGGTCTTCCAAAGTGTGACTAAAAATATGATTGACAGAGTGCTGACTTGTTACCTGTGTTGTATACGTCCTTTCCTGTAATTCATTCTGTTGTAATTGGATGTATGAGATGCAGTCCATATGCATGAACCTTCAGTGAGCTCCAGGTGCAGAAAAGTTACTGTAGGTTATGCCAGTAGGTCTGGTGCCCATACCTCTTGGTTTAGAATTTTGGAATTTTCCAGGGCAGGCTTGTGGGCCTTTCATCTTCTTATCTCTGCCTCTGTGTAGTAAGCCTTAGGACAAGGTGGGCAGTGTCTAGGGGCATTGCTCAACTTCAGGTGAATAAAGGGAAGTAAAGGGGCATTGCCCAGCAGTGAATGGAGAGGAGTGGCCCCATATCCTCAGTTGCATTATCTATATTACTATCTTAAAATCAAAAGGGTTGGGGTGTAGTGATAGAGCCCTTGCATGACCTATACACCCCTCTGGGTTCATTCCCAGTACTGGAGGAAAAAAAGAAGAAGTTGATAGTCATGACATCAGGTCTGCATCTACCATTGGAGAGCTGTGTTGTGGGGACAGGCAAGACCCTCCTCAGGACCTCCTTTCCTTTGGAATTTTGATTTTCTTTCTTTTCTTCCTCTCAGGTTAGTAATTTTTTAATACTTTAGAGTGAATCGGTATATCAGATCTTTCAGACTGCAGATGACAGTAGCAGTAAGGATCTTGAAGTGGTGGGAGAGGAAGATAGTTACACCAACTGTCTTCTATTCTTTCTTTTTTCTTGTGAGTTCTGGGAGATTGATCCCAGGCAAGCACTCTACTGTTGAGCTCCATATATCCTCCCTGTTTCCTATGAGGTCAATCTTGTTAACTGTACACTTAGTCCTTGACTTACGAACGAGTTCTATTCTGGGAAAATTGTTTATAAGTAGGGGACTTACTATACTTTGTAGTGAAGGACACTAAGTTGTAAAGGAATGTAATAATTTACCAGAGCTACTTCCAGTGGCAGAGTGGGGTGGGGTGGGTTTGAAAGCTTTGGGTGTGACTTAAAAACAGATGCTTGTTGCTCTATCAGGCTAGGAGTGGAGCATTGGCTATTGCAGAATTGATCATTGAATGCAGAAGAGCCTAGTGTTTCATACGTTTTGGTTTCTCATCAGATCAATTCTCTTTTTCAGCAGCCAGAATTATGAAAAGTTTTTAACTTTATGAGTTTTATTGTACAATGTGTACCAACAGGAAAATGTCAATAAAATAAAACATTAAATTTTATATATATGTGTAGAATAAACATTTTTAACCATCTGTTTACCTGCTTATAAGAGCTAAAAAAAAAGCAGAAATAAATTTCTGTGTGAATTATAATGAAAATACAAACAAAACTACCACAGAAATAGATCTTTGTTTCAGTTATCAAACCTAAGGCAGTATTCACACATGACAACAGAATGTTCCATATATAAGTCTCACTTACACTGATAGCATGTGTGTTTAGCTTTCCTTTCCTGTTTGTCAGGCCATACTTGTTACCTCTCTTGTTTTCCTCTTTTATCAGGAGCTTCCTATTATACAATGACCACTTTTCAGGAAAATGAAAAAGCAATAAAATAAAATGAAGTTTAAAATATATACTATTTAGAATAAACATTTTCTACATCAACTATTTCTTTGTTTACTAAATGTAAAAAATAACAGCAGAAATAAATTCCTATGTGAACTACAATGAAAATACAAATAAAATTCTACCACAAAAATAATCTTTACTTCACAATTATCACACCTAAGACGGTTTTCACATATGAGAACAGCATGTTCCACACACAAGTACTGCTTACACTGATAGTAACATGTGTTTTGTTTTCCTGTCTTCTTTGGTAGGGTGTACTTGACATCTTACTGGTCTTCCCATTTCTTAGGAGGTTGTTGTGATGTTTCACCTGTCCCAGAATTTTTTTGTGGAATTCTTTGGCTAGATACATATTGTTCTTCCTCTATTGTAGTTGATCATTTATCAATTCCAGTCCTAGTCCTCCAAGGAAATTTCTCCATGATATTTTGTCCTTGTTATTTTCTTTGTAAATGATGAAACTATTCATGCCTGACATGTTTAGCATCCAGTAAAACACAACCATTGGTCAACACTTTGTGTTTCAAGTGACATCATAGCTGCTGCATAACTCATCAACAACATCTACTCCACCTTTCATTTTGTTGTAAAATGTGGCCGTTTCTGGCTTCATTTGTGTTGTGGATTCACTATCAATCTTTGTGTTTGTTTTGAGACAGGGTCTTCCTGTGTAGCCTATGCTCTCCTGTAACTCACTAACTAATTACGCAGAGGCTGACCTTGAACTAACTCACAGGGTCCTGTTGCCTCAGTCTCTTGCGCGCTGGGATTATAGGCACCACCACACTCCTGGACTCACTGTCAATCTTGTCATCATGGTGTAAAGTTGATAGTATCAATACTACTTTGTGTTTCTTCTCCATGTAAGAGGCCAGTGTTATGTCTTTCTAAAATCCAAAGATTGTATTATACATTTCTCTATTGTGAACTTGTGACATATTTTCAGGAATCTTAGATTTATTCTTAGCAACAGTTCCTGTGCTGGTCAACTGGTGTTCTTTTAGTAAGTGTAACATCAATGGGTAACTTATGAACCAACTGTCAAATAAGACACTTGGGTTACCTTTTGAAATAGGTGCAACAAGTCTGTTTATAGAGTCATGTGATTTACTACAGCACAAAGAAAGACCTGGTGGCTGAGTCCAGGATAAATTTCTAAATTCAAGGTGTAAAGCATCTTTGCATCTACTAGGGCATATATTGTTATACCATGTTTGGAACGTTTACCTGGCATATATTGCCAGAAGCTTCAATCACCATGAAGTGATGCAAGTTGTTTGTCAACTATGTATTCAGATAGTGTATAAATTGCTTGAAAGTTTGAAACAATGCTCTTAACAAATGAGTAAATAGCCACATTGTTGGATTTTTTTCCTTTCTTGGCAGTTCTTTTTGTCATCATAATATAGGTAATTTTAAAGTAAACCAAATCTCTTGAGTGTCATTATTGTTCTAAAAATCTCAATACCACATCTCTCACTTCTCCATAAATCCTTTAGATTCTGATGATTAGAATGATAAAGTCCTGCTCTGAGGGCTTTTAGTTCAGATAGTGAGGTGTCATGATAAATATATTTTTGAGTGTTACTATTGATGCATATAGAATGTTTTCTTGTATTTCATTATTTGCATATTTTAAAACATCTTGTATCGTATCATCCATTACAAACAATTTCCAACATTGAATCACAGTGTTGGCATTCTGTCCAATACGTTTCACCCTAGGCAAGAATCTAATACCATTTTCTGTTTTTTTTTTTTTTGATCTTTGACAGTTACTTGCTGGACAGAAGAAAAGCTCTCCCTTTTGGACATTTGAGTATTATCAAACGTTCTTTGATGTGGACACTTATCAGGTTTGTAAGCCATTTTCATCCTTCCTTTTACAGGAGAGAGATGTGTTTCTTCTGTGATTAAATAGTCAAATCATGGGAAAGTCTTTCTTTACTAAAAGAGGTCTTAAAAAAGAGGTCTTACAAAAATAAAGGGTTACTACTTATGTAAAAGTACTATCATAAAAGTTCAAGTAACTGAGTTTCACTTTTGTCATAGTTGAATTTTTTAAACTTCTAAAAAAAAAGTACTCTGTAGAATTACTGTTATGTTGTTTTCCAGGTCTTTGACCGAATAAAAGGGTCTCTTTTGCCAATACCCGGGAAAAACTTTGTGAGGTTATATATCCGCAGCAATCCAGATCTCTATGGTATGTGTGGTGCTGTTTTGATTCTTTACCACATGATAGTTAAACTGGGCAAAATTTGTGGGTTGCCTAAAAATCTGGAGAATTGCATTGTTGTGGGGTCTACACTGTTTTATTTTTATTTGACTCTTCTGAGATTCAGTAAGAACCCTTGCGAAGAATTTAGGGGGAAATGCAATTAGTTCTGTTAATGCCACAACAACAAGCACCAGTATGCCTGTCAGTGTCTTCAAATGGAATTACAGGCTTGAGACAATGAAGCAAAATTGTTGATTTTACTTTATAGAGAATTTTCTGGCTGGATAAGTATGGAGAAGATAGTCTCACACTTTTTTCTTTTCTTTTTTTTGGTACTGGGATTTGAACTTGGGACCTTGTGCTTGTGAGGCAGGCCGTAAAACCACTGAGCCAAAAATCTGGCCCCTCTCATGCTTTTTTACTGATGTGCTAAGTTCAGCTGTGCCCTCAAATGGGCTGGCTTTCCTTGGGATTTGGTCACCAGCACTGGAAGTCAAAGCAGGGGTGGGCCAGGGGATAGCTGTTATTCCGCACCCACTTGCTGTCTGAGGAAAAAGTCCCAAGTCCACCCAGAGCTTCTGAGAAAATGGCTCCCGTGACAGTGGCCCTCTGTGTTTGAGGGAAAATACAGCTCTCTGCATAGCAAGTGCTTGGCCAAATTCTAGACTCTTCACGAAGCCGGGAGAATATCTAATATCAAAAACCAAGAAAAGTGGGAGTCCTCTTTGGAGGTTGGGAGGTTCCCTTCTGCTTAGCCCATGCACCCTATGACATTTCTGGAAGTTTCCCTAGGATTATGTGAACGATTCCAGGACACCTGAGGAGCCTGGTGCAGAAGCCATCGTGCTTCGGGGAGTGGTGGTGCACACACCTATAATCCCAGCGCTTGGGAGACTGAGGCAGGAGGATTTGTGAGTTTGAGGTCAGCCTGGGCTACATAGCAAAATTCTTTCTCAAAAACTGAAGAAGGAGAAGGAGGAAGGAGCCATTGTGTTGGCCCCTGTCTATCATTATCATTCAAGAGTAGTTAAGGTGGTTTCCTAGCTCTCTCATTCATCCTTCTTATTTCCAGCCTGAGGATTTCTGAGGAACGGGCTCTGTGTCTGAGTAATCTGTGTCACCTTGGCACAGAGCAACTGCTCTACAGTTTTCAAGCACCTTATCACATGGTAGGCCCTGAGCTAACGGGAAAGATTTCAAGGCAAGGCTATTGTCCCAGCCCCAGGGAGGAAGAAGAGAACCAGCATCTATTGAGCACCTGACAATTACCAAGTGTAGAGATGAGCACTATTGAATTTTACAGTAGTCTATTTCTTATGCTCCAAGGTTGCTTATCTTAACAAAAAGAGAAACCTACTCATACCCATAGAGTTACAGTAATATCAGACACAACTCAGAGTGTTTATTACCATGTGTGCCAGACAGTTATCAAGGCCGAACCTACAGTAAATCATTTACCCCATCTTTACAAGGAAGATGTTATTGTCTCCATTTTATAGATATGGACACTAAGTCATGGGCCCGGCCACTTGCCCAGTATCATATTGCTAGTAAGTGTCTGGGCTCAGTTTTCAGATCAGCACCGTAGCTCATACTTTGTATCTCTATCATTATGCTATGCTGCTTCTCATGACAAAGCCAGGGTTTGAACCCAGATTTGCTTCTTGCCATAATACTAGTAGGCTCACGACCTTTTAGACATGATTAAAATTCAGTAAAGTGTTTTATAGTAGAGAGGCATGGGCCATAGGGAGATGTAGGAGGAAAGTGGTCAAGAAATAGAGGACAGCCGGGCGTGGTGGCGCATGCCTGTAATCCCAGCACTCGGGAGGCTGAGGCAGGAGGATCACTGTGAGTTTGAGACCAGCCTAGGCTACATAGTGAGTTCCAGGTCAGTCTCAACTACATAGTGAGACCCTGTCTCAAAAAACAAACAAACAAACAAACAAACAAAAAACAACAACAAAAAAGAAATAGAGCACAAATGTGCCATTATGCAAAGTCTGGGGAGAAACTAATGAATCACCTATCTTTCAGCTTAAAGTGAATATTTCTATACAATAAAGTAACTCTTAAAAAAAAGGATGGAACAGAAGAAATGTATTTGCAGTGCACATAACCACCAAAAGATGAGAAGCAAGAACTATAAATTTTAGGTATTAAACAACTGGAGAAGAATGGACAGTTCACAGAAGACACCAAATAGCCAATAAAAGCATAAAACGCTAATCACTCGCTTCTATCAGGGAAATAAAAACTAAAACAAGACATTTATGCCTATCACTTTAGCAAGCATATTAAAGTTGGTTTGTCTTTAATTCAATTAATTCAACAAACATTGAATGCTTACTATTCCAGGCACTTTGTATACAACAGTGAATAAAACAGAAGCCCCTTAAGTAGATTGTAGTCTACTGAGTTTAACAATAAACAAAGAAAACAAGTAAAAATATATACAGTAGTTTGCTAGTTACAAGTCTAAGGTGAAAATTTAAAACACAGTCAGGACCTGAAGTGTTTGTGTGGTGTGGGAGGGGGTAGAGATTTTTCAGAGGTGAGTTTTGAGTAAAACCTGAAGGAATTGGGAGTGATGTCTGTGTCCAGTGAAGGAAAGAACATTAGAAGCAGAAGGATCAGCCAGAGCAGAGACCCTGAGGTAGGAGTGGCCTGCTGTGTTCCAGAGTAGTGCAGGCTGGCGCGGTAGACAAGGAGCTCGAGTAGATCAGGGAAGCAGGGTGGATGGGCAGACACTGATCCAGGCGTTTCCAGCTTGTGGCCAGTGGCTTGGACAGTCCTCCCATGCCTGGGCCCACTCTGAGTGAAGAGGAATTGTCTTGGCTGCATGTTAAAGGTATAATATAGTTAACATTTGTAAGTAACAAAATTTCCTTTTTAAAAAATATTTTTAGTATTGGGCCGGGATTTAGCTCAGTGATTCTGCTGCTTGCCTCGCAAGTGCAAGGACCTGAGTTCAATCCCTGGGACCCCCAAAAATGTATACATTTTTAGTATGACACAGGATTGCAGGTGTTGGGTACACCTGACTGGGTCTTGTAAGTCACCATGAGGACTTTGGCTTTTACTGAATGAGAGGCCATTAGAGAGTCTGAGCACAGAAGTGAGAGACTCTAAGTTTGATTGATTGATTTGGTAAAGAAGATTGAACCTAGGACCTTTGCACTGAGCTATATCCCCAGTTCTTCTTTCTCCCTGTGTTCCTCTATCCCTCTCTGTCTCTTTTTTTCTTACTTTGCATCCTCTCCCCTCACGCTTTTTTGTTTGTTTTTTGAGATAAGGTCTTCTCAAGCTCATTGTGTAGCCCATGCTGGCCTTGAACTCGTGGTGATTCTCCTGCCTCAGCCTCCCAAGTGCTGTGATTACAGGTGTGTACCACCATGCCCAGCTATTGTTTTTTTTTTTAATCTTTTTTTTTGGAACTGGGGATCGAACTCAGGTCCTTGCGCTTGCAAGACAGTCGCCAGAACCACTGAGCTAAATCCCCGGCCCCCAGCTATTGTTTTTTGAGACAGGGTCCTTCCATATAATTCAGGCTGGCCTTACACTCTCAGTGTACCCCAGGCTAGCTTCAAACTTGCAGTGATCTTCCTGCCTCAGTCTCCTGTGTGGTGAGATTATAGGCATGCACTACCATACTTGGCTGTCTTTTTTATTTTGAAACAGGGTCTTGCTAAATTGCCCAGGCTGGCATCAGACTTGCAATCCTCCCACCTTAGTCTTCGAAGCTTCTGGAACTACAGGGATTGCATTCAGCTCCAAGTCAGATTTCATACACATTGCTGCTGTTATCAAGTGCATAAGAGCAACAGTTTTAATAATGGATGTGTAACTGGTACACACATTAGAGCAGTGTGAAGATGCTTGGGTCCTATAACTAACTCATCAATTCCTCACTTAGATACATATTTTTAGAGAAGTGAATATATACAATATTACATAAGAAGAGTATCATTCACTGAAGCACTGTTGCTTGTAATAGCAAATATTTAAAAACCACCGAAGTATTCATCAGCAAAAGAATGGATAAATTGTGGTATATTCATACACAGAATTCTGTAGCTCTTAAAGTGAGATCTTCATATGAACATCAAGGTAGGTTTATCTCAGAACAAGGCAAATTTTAGAAAGCATGTGGTAAAAGAATATGAATGATGTGACACCATTAAAAAGATTTTTTTTTTTGAGACAGTGCCTCACTGTGCTCCCCAAGCTGGTCTTGAACTCATTGGCTTCAGCATTTTTCCTACCTTAGCCTCCCATGTAGTTGAGAATACAGGTATGTGCACTACATAGAGTTTAAAAAGATGTTTATGGAGCCAGGGATTTAGCTCAGTAGTACTGTGCCTACCTTGCAAGTGCAAGCTCTTGAGTTCAATCCCTGGTACCAAAAAAAAAAAAATGTTTACAGTGGCAAAGTAGGCACATGTGTTTATCGTTTGATCTTCTCTGTCACAAATATTTCATACTATAAAAATGCATAATATGAAAATGTCATTACAGGTGCAGTGTAGGTCTTTGTCACTCCTCTATAGTGAGTAGGAATTTGGCCTGGGAGGGTGAGAGAGAAGGCAGGGTGAAGCAGCCTGGTGGCTCTGGGATAAGTGTGTGTTACCTGAAGCAGGAGCCCCAGCTTCCTGTGGGGGTGGCTGGAGCGATTCTTAACCTCTGATCACGATGGGCCTTTTTATATAAGCCTGAGGAAGGGTTGCAAACAGGAGAGAGAGAGATGAGAATGCTAAGAGCCAGGAAGTTTTCTTGCTTCTGTCCAAGAATAAATTGCTGAGATTAAACTTAGACAAGCAGAACAAGGATGCGGATGCAGATGACTTTCCAGACTACCTGAAAATTTCTTGCCCCACCTCCTGCTGTGCCGGGGTTGTTAGACAGCTTAGGGCATGGGGCAGCCAGAGATGCTGGGCAAGTCTTTAAATCAGTGCAGTTGGCCCCTGGATTTGTAGGTTCCACATCTGCAGATTTCACTGATCATAAATCAAAAACATTTGAAAAAGTATTGCATCTGAGCTGGACATGGTGGTGCCACCTGTAGTCCCGGCACTCGGGACTCTGAGGCAGGAAGACTACGGCAAGTTCAAGGCCAACCTGTGCTGCATAGTGAGTTCAAGTCCAGCCTGAACTACATAGCAAGACCTTGTCTTTTAAAAAAAAAAATTACATTTGTACTAAACAAATAGAGATTTTTTTTCCTTCTCATTATTCCCTAACCAGTTCAGGATAAATAGCTCTCTATGTAGCATTTGCATTGTACTTGGCATTGCAGTTAATCTAGACAAGATTTAAAGCACACAGGAGGATGTGCATAGATTATATGCAAATACTATGTAATTATATGCAAATTATATGTAATTTTATCTAGAAGACTTGAGTGTCTTCACATTTTGGTATCCTTGAGGTCCTGGACCAGTCTGCTGCAGGTACCAAGGAACAGCAGTGCACTCATAAATGTCTCCTCGTGCCAGGCTGCAAGTTGCCCTTAAGATAAACTCCTAACTCACTGTCAGGGCTTCTGAGACCCTTCTTGATCCGGCCCTGGTCCAGCTCCAACCTCTGGCTACTCCTAGCCTCACATTTCCTTGCTCTTGCATTGTTTTCTCTTGTTTCTGGGTCTCTGCTCCTGCCAGTCCCTCTTGCTGGATTGTGCTTCTCTTCTGCCTTCACTTGCAAACTCCTATGCTTCTGCAGATCCCAGCTTAGACACCATGTTGTCTACATGTAGTGCTCTGCCTGTGGTCCCATGGGCTGCCTGCTCTCTTGAGGTTAAGTGTTTTGATCTCCCTCTCTCTCTCTCTCTCCCCCCCCCTTTCTCTCCTCCCCCCGCCCCCTTCTCTCCCTCTCTCTCCCTCTCTCCCCTAGCCCAGGGCCTGGATGGTACTTAGTGGCTGATAGGGTATGAATCTCAACTGGTGATTCTCTTGCCTCAGCCTTCTGAGTAGCTGTGATTATGGTATTTTCCACTGTACCTGGTTTGTTTTGCTTTTTCTTTTATGTGGTAGGCACTTAGAATGATATAGTGTAGTTTAGCCCTGACTGCAGCAGAGAGCTTGTAGTCTAGTGAGGAAACAGGCACTTGTGGAAAGCTGATGTTTGGGACTCTGGGGTATCCTATTGATGTCCCCTGCAGGAGCCAGAGCATGGCTTTGAGAAGTGCTCATCCATTTCTGTTTGTCTTCTCCCCGAGTACAGTAATTTTCTTCATTTAATCATCTGTGAAGGTGCCTGAAATTATCCCAAAGGGTGTGGTGACGTATTAGTGAAATTGAAAAAAATGAAATTCATAAAAACTATTAAAATTTCTCAATTTAAAAATCACATTTGTAAGCCAGGCATGGTGGTGCACACTTTAAACCCAGCACTCAGGAGGCTGAGGCAGGAGGATCACCTTGAGTTTGAGGCCACCCTGGGCTGCATAATGAGTTCAAGGCCACCCTGAACTACATGGTGAGACCCTGTCTCAAAACAAACAAACAAACAAATAAACAAAAATTAAATTGTTCAATGTTGTATATTTTCTATGTAGAAAGAGACAGGATGGTGCTCATGAAATCAAGCCTTTGGTGAAAGGAGTTTCACCATGGTACACTCATCCACTCAGTGGATAGTTTTATAACTATTTAGAGGCAGTTTTTTAAAATGACTAGCTGTGGTATGATCTAAGCCATATTAAGGTGAAAGTAGAAAACTGCCCAGTAGAATATACATGTATCTGTCATCATCTGTATAAAACAAACACAGTCTGGCGTAGTGGTGCATGCCTGTAGTTCAGCACCTTAGAAGGCTGAGGCAGGAGGATCCCAAGTTTGAGCCTAACCTGGGCAATGTAGTGGCTTAGTGAGACCTTATTTCAAAAATTAAAAATGGGCTGAAGATGTAGCTTAGAGTGAAGGCATTGGGTTCATTCCTGTAATTAATTAATTAAGTGAATGACTGAGGATATAGCTTAGCACAAAGGTCCTGGCTTCACTCCCCCAATCAATCAATCAGCAGGGCTGGAGCTCAGTGCAAAGCCCTAAGTTCAATCCCCTGTTGGAAAAAACAAAAATAAAACCAAACAAACGCACGCACACACACACACTCACTTCTATGTGTGGAATATTTGTGGTAGCATTTGCTAGAACCCAGCTACAGTGGTAAGTTCTGGGGAGACAGAATGGAGAGCTAGGGCACTGCTGAGAGGAGGAAAACTTCACTTTTCTCTGTATGCCCATTTCCACCTTTTGAACATTGAACTGTGTGTATGTATTATCTTTTTGTTAAAGAAAAATAGAAGAAAAGCCTTAAACTGCCCCCTTTCAAACAGAAGCATAGCGATGTAATAGCTGAGATGAACTCCTGCTGAAAGTGTTGGCCTTGCCTTGCTCTTCACTGATGCTGCAGAAGGACCTGTCTGATTTAACTTATTTTTCTCTGGCATTAACATTTGACACTTTGATAAGGGAAGTAATCATTGCTGCTTACATCTGATGAGAGTTTAACCAAACATCTATGAATTTTCTTGATGATCCTCCAATAAAAGAAACTATACACGAATCAATGTCTGTATTCACCTAATTATGGGAGGTATTTTTGCCTCTGGATTCTAATTTCCCCCATCTTTAAGGCAACTAATTGCTGAGCTGTGTTTTGACTTAAAAAAAAAGAATCCCCATTAAATAAGTGTTGAGTGCATCCAGAATTCATTTTCCATCATTTACATGAATGAGGAGAGGAAGATAAATTAGTCTATAAGAATCTAAAGGCTGTTGGTTCATTTTCCTGTGTCTGAATTTTCTGGTTGCTTTTGCAGGGCCCTTTTGGATATGTGCCACATTGGTCTTTGCCATAGCAATTAGTGGGAATCTTTCCAACTTCTTAATCCATCTGGGAGAGAAGACATACCATTATGTGCCCGAATTCCAAAAAGGTTGGTGAATAATGTGGCTCATTTAGATGCTGTCAGTTTCTAACCATGAGCTCTTTTACCCCTGAGCCCATGGGCCCCATGTCTCAGTGCTGCCGCCCCTGCCTTCTCTATTTTAAGGTTTAAACATCCCTCCTGGCTCAAAGTTACTATCCATTCTTTATTTCTTTTCCTCCCGTGGTAAAATGTATGTGATATAAAACTTAGCATTTTAAATGTATGCAATTCAGAGATAAGCATACCTTCAAAGTATTATAAATTCACATAATTTTTAGGAAAGCTATAAAGCAAGATCCAGTGGCCCTTGGAATTATTTTAAAAAAGTAGAAAATAACTAAAAAACAGTGTGTGTGAAAGTCTCCATTGTAGCGTTTTTATACTGTCCCAGTCCTGGAAACAATAGAGGCGTTGTTATTTATCTTGTGATGGCTCAGATAGCAGAGATAGGCTGTGACCACTGATTATGAAGGGCAACGTGGGAAACTGACAACTGAGGCCAGACCAGTGCCTGTTCTGTTAGCAGCTTTGTTAAAGAGAAGTCTACAAGTGGTCAAGGTCTGGAAGGAAGAATGCACAAATGAATGTGACCTGGTGATAGGCTTATAAATCACGTTCTTGTTTTAAAACTTCCTTTCCTATGTCAATATTAGGCAGTGAAAAGAAAAGAAAGAACAGCTCTTAGGGACTTGCAGATGACAGCCACTACAACGTGAGGAAGTTTGGCTTCATAGCAGATTGACCCATCGTACTTTCTCAAGTCCCAGCCCCCTCCCTAGCCACCCTCATCCTGAGAGGGTATCACTGGCCTGAATAAGAGCAGCTCCAGAGCCAGAGCACTGGCTGCGGCTTCTAGGTCTGCCCCTTGTCAGCTTCCATCTCTTGGAACAAGTTATTTCATCTCTCCTAGCCTCAGATTCACTGGTGAAATGGAAATGATAATACTTATATTACAGGGTTATTGTAAGCAGAAAGAGTTGATACATGTATTAGAATAGTGGTTTGTACAAAATGATGTATGTGTATGTGTGTGTGTCTGTGTATATCTGTATATGGTCATGTGTGTATACAGGGACAGAGTATGCATTTACCCTTCCTTCTCTTCCTCCCCTCTGCCTTCTGTGCCCATTTTCCCTTTTTGTCCTTCTCCATCGTGGAGTCAGACTCAGATTCAATTCTATTCGTTTGTTTTTGTCAGATATCTTTGGTTTGAATTTAGCCCTGCCTTCAAGTAGCTTCGCTCATAAAGCAAGATAGATGAATGAATATTGCTGTAAGCCGTACATGCTAACTTCTGTATCAGGATTGTGTGGGTGTATTACAAGAAGAGTGACCCACGGTTCCTGGGGACCTGGAAGCCTAGGAGGGTCTTTATCTGTATCAGACACTGACATAATGTCCCAGTAAGATAGTCACAGACACATCGATAAGCATTTTCCCATTTTATGTAAAGAATATGAATCACATCTGGAGTTAAATCCAGCTTCCCCCAACTTGTTAGTTATGTGATCATGATCAAATTAACTTCTCTGATCTAAAACAATAATATAGATTATATTAACTATTTCATGTAAAAAGTTGTCTTGATCGAGCATTTATTATTATCAATTCCTGCTCTCCTGAGTTCTTCCCAGTTTTTATTTATTTAATTCTCCTAATAAGTTTAAAGATAATTTTGTTTCCATTTGCAGATAGGGAAACTAAGGCAGGAAGTAACTCACCACCTGAAAGCTTACTTTGCCTAGGATTAGAACCCATGACAACTGCACAGAGACTGTGCCTTGACTATCACACGTCCTTACCTATCATTTATACTGAGTGTAACTCCTGATGCCCAATATATGATCAATGAATGGTACCTGTCGATAGAGTAGGGTTTCATTCTCTTTTGGTTAACCAAGGAAAAGGCATTATGTCAACAAAATTCTCTTTGGCTTAATGAGGGTTCCAAAGTGAAAAACCTGCTCTAGGAGCTCCAGATGTTTTGCACAATCAACTTATCCAGAGTCGGATGTAATTGCTGAGGGGGCTTTGTCATCACTAGGATGTGTTAAGTGAGCTGCTTGCTGCTTTCCACGTGGGAAGGGCTTGCACCATGCTTTATGATTTTCCACTCCAGCAGAGGGAAGACAGTCCTGGAGGGCAGCTGCTGTGAGAGAGGAGGGATCAGTGCCATGAAATACTAAATGCTGTGTTTCCAGGGGCCCCTGCCGAGCCCTTCACCACCGAGGCAGTTATTTATTTAAGGAGGAAAGTGAAACTGGAGAATAGTGCAAGCAATTCATCCATGAGCTAGAATTCTATATTTCAGAGACAGGAAGATCTCTAAATAGCATGCAGAACAAGTTAATCTGTACCCAGGGCATTTTAATAAATTTGCTAAAGAAATCAGTGTCAGCTCTTGTTTTGCTAGGGAGGAGGACGTGTTCTTCCAAGGGGATGGTTGCCTTTTATTTGATTGAAATGCTTGGTTATTTAAACACTAGCGGTGTGACCCTCTGGAGTATTTCACTTGCATAATTCAGTTTTTAATAATATTAGCTGTTGTTGAGTGAATTATGAAAGCCATATAGAAGAGTACTGGTTATCACAACAAAGGCAGACCAAAGAACACAACTAAAGATTCATTAGTTCAGCAAACATTTGTCAGGCATTCACTGGGTATCTGATACTATGCCAGGCCCAGGAAATGGCAGACCAGTAAGACATGATCCCATAGTCCTCTGCCAAAAGTTGACAGGCTAGGAGAAAAGGCCAGTAAGTTTTCAAAAGTGCTATGACAGAATGTTACCATGATGTGGATGAAAACTGTGTCCTGTCATCTGCAGTGTCCATAGCAGCGACAGTCATCTATGCCTATTCCTGGCTGGTTCCTCTTGCTCTCTGGGGTTTTCTCATGTGGAGAAACAGCAAGGTTATGAACATCGTTTCCTATTCGTTTCTGGAGATTGTGTGCGTCTATGGCTATTCACTCTTCATTTATATCCCCACAGCAGTAAGTACCATACTACCGAGCAAACTCTGAATGATATTCTCTTCATGGTTGAAAATTCAACCATGAATTTGACGAAGTATCATTATTTCCAGCCTAACACTCATGTGTTGCCGAAAATCCCCTTTGAATTTAAAGTAAATCAGGACTTGGGGGGCATGTGCCTGCCTGGCCTGCAACCCCTGAAGCATCTGCCTCAGTCTACCTGCTGGTGGGGTTTTTCCAGCCTGTCTTGGAACCAGATGTACGTTGAGGGCATGATTGGCTCAGGGGTTTATAAATGTATTGGTCTAGAGCAAACAAATACTCCTCCGAAATGCCCCAAACAATCCCTGGCCGCCCTCTTTTCTTTCAGATACTGTGGATTATCCCCCAGAAAGCAGTTCGTTGGATTCTAGTCATGATTGCCCTCGGCATCTCAGGCTCTGTCTTGGCGATGACATTCTGGCCAGCTGTTCGCGAGGATAACCGGCGCATTGCGATGGCCACAATCGTCACGATTGTGTTGCTTCACATGCTTCTTTCTGTAGGCTGCTTGGTATGGTCTCATTCCTGAATCCTTTTGGCGTGTTTTATAAACAAATTCTAAAAGATTTCAAACTGTTAGGCACATTTCCTTTAAAATCAACTCCATGGCTGGGTATGGTGATACATGCCTGTAATCCCAGCACTCAGTAGGCTGAGGCAGGAGAATCGCAAGTTCAAGGCCTGCCTAAGCAATTTAGCAAGACCCTATCTCAAAATAACATAGAAAAAGGGATGAGGTGTAGCTTTGTGATAGAATGCTTGTCTATCATGCACAGGGCCCTGGGTTCCATCTCTAGTATCACAAAATAAAATAAACTGATTCCATGAAATAAACATTGTTTTACATTCCTAGAGAGGATGTGATAAAATCATGAGAGTTTGATTCAGTTAGTGTCTGGCTTAAGCTTTAATGTCTTGTTAGAGGAAGTATGAGTGGGCGTGTGCTTCTGTATAGGGCTAGGGGATGGTTTTGGAGGAACTCTGCCTTTAGGTGCCTTGTTGACTTCCAGACTACAGCTAGAAAGATTTTGAATTTAAAATTTCATAGGTGAAAAGTCTTAAGAATGAAGCCAAGTGCAGGCAAGTGGAGTTGACCTGAAGTGAGCAACATTTAGAGCAGGTTTGGGCTCCCTGTTTATAGGTGTCTTCTTAGGAAGAGCCTGTGCTTGTGCATCAGGCAGGCCAGGTAGAAGGGCAGCTGTGTTGCCTACTGACTGAGTGCAGCCATGATTCTGTATTTCTGAATCAATCTCTTCATCTGCAGCATGGCTGTATTTCCTGCCAGAGGGTTGTTCTGAGGATCAAACAAAATAGTACATAGAAAACGCTTAACATGCCAAGCATGGTGGTGCACACCTGTAATCCCAGCAGTCAGGAGGCTGAGGCAGAAGGATGACTGAGTTCAAGGCCAACATGGGCTTCATAGTGAGATCAAGGCCTGAACTTCATAGTGAGACCTTGTCTCAAAAACAATACAAAACTCGGGCCAGGCATTTAGCTCAGTAGTTTGGTGTCCTGCCTTGCAAGCACAAGGACCTGAGTTCAATCCTCGGTACCAAAACAAAAACAAAAACAAAGACAATACAAAACTTAGCACTGACTCTGTCCTGTAAATTAGGTTCCCTTTGATCCTAAGGAGACCTAGCTAATCCACTGAAATGCTTCATGACCCTGGGGACCCTTCTTTCTATTGAAGAACACATCCTTTTCATTGTAATTAAATAGTTATCACTGTCATCTTCTCATCTTCTGCATTTTCCCCCATTGTATATAGGGCTGAGAAGTTGGTGAGAGGAAGAAGCAGGAAGAAAAGGCAATCATATTTTTCAGCTCTGTAAGGACTAGAGAGGAACAGGGAAAGATTATCATTTTCTTAAGGAACTCATTTCATGGGGCACGTGCAGCAAAGTCTTTTACTTCCTATTCCCCTTACTCCTTCCTGAGGTGAATGGCTCTGAAGCTAGTGTCTTCCTGCTGCTCTTGATGCTCAAGAACGTTGTAGAAGAGTGCATAGTTATGGAGTAGAAAGAGTCGTGGACGGGAGGTATTTAGCATTATGAACTAAGGCAGTTTAACTCTCAGGACCTTGGATTCCTTGTCTGTCAGAGATTCCCATCTGCCTGGGCTTCTGTGAGATACAGTGAGATGCTGTGGAAACCCTTCGTATACTGTGCAGGGTGGAAAGATGTTGGGAAAAGAGCCCCAGGTCATCAGAAGTTACCAGGGCCAGTCTGTCACATAATGCTCCTCAGTGCCAGGTGAGACAGGGGTCTGAGATCACACAGCTCACGCATGGACTAAAGCTCAGGTCTCTGCTCTGCGACAGTGTCCTTTTGTTGGTGCCTCTCACAGTGACTTTCCATCTCCCTGCTGAGTTTATTGTTCATTATATACCTGGCTGAGAAGCTGGGGGAGAAAAGACAGGAGACAGGCCTCTCTGTTCAGCCCTGCATGGCAGGGCAGTCTTGGGTGGGAGCCAGGAAGGCATGATTTTGTCCTCCTCACAGAAGCTTAGTGGTCAACCAGAGGCCCACCATGCCTGGGCGCTGTTCTCCACAATGGAGATGCCTCCTCCTCTCTGGAGGACAGCTGGCCCAGAAATGAGGAGACATGGTACCAGTCCCCACTCCACCACCCCCTGCTTTGGTCATTTCCTGTCTCAGGCTCCTGCCTCCTTATTTAGAAAAAGGAGCTGGTTATGTACACCATAGTAGCATCTTTGCAGCTGTAAGCATAAATGATACGTGCAACATGAAAAATATGACAAGTGATCCAAACGGAAGACATTATTGTTATTGCCAGGGTAGGGAGAGGAATTGGCAGGGGAGTTATTTGAGCTGAGGGGCAACGGCTGAACCAGACGGCCTGGCTCTCTCCCTCTCCCCTGGGGAGCATGGGATGGTATTTTTGCCTCAGTACAGTGAAGCACTGACAGCCTCACACCTGCTGAGGGCCCCTCAATGAGCGCACTTGTAGACGATCCCCCAGATTCTGCACCTGGCAGGCAATGGAGGAGGATGCATCTGGAGCATGCATCCTCATGGGCCTATTTAGAGTTACACAAGCCTGGGTTGGAGGGGAACCACTGACAGCAGAAGAACTGTGCCCTGTCTCTACTCCTAGAAAGCCTGTGATCTACTTGGAGGCCTCATAGGCTGGGGGTGGACATGTTGCCAAGTTGCAAGCAGTGTTGGAGAACAGAAGAACTGGATTGGAATCCAGCTCAGACACAGTTGCGCAACTTTGAGAAAATCTTGTTTTGAACCTTAGCTCTGTCATCTTTAAACTGGAAATAAAACCAGGTATGGTGATCATACCTGTAGGCCCAGCACTCAGAGACTGAGTCAGGAAAATCGCTGCATTTGAGTTCAGCCTAGGCAACTTAATAAGACCCTGCTGGGATAGAGTTCAATGAGAAGACCCTAAGAAAAGAAACAGCCTTTCGAGATCATCTTTTGCAGTCCTGGAGTTCTATAGATAAGAAAGCTGAGGCTTGGCGGGTGAAGGTATTTGTCCAGAGTCACTGTGAGTAGCCACAGAACCTGGGGCTCTGGCTCACTCCATCTTACCAGGGTTTCGTCAGGAGCCAGGAAGAGAGTTTCTCCTCCTGGGTCGCAGGCCTTGGCAACTCGGGGCTCCTGCAGGAGGACTGGGACTAGAACAGCCACTGTGGCTGCTGCTTCCTCCTAAATTCAGAACTTTTCTTTCCCTGTCCTAGAAAACAGCTGCAGGAAGAGGCTTTAGGGAGGGAGCCTTTTAAACAGTAGAATTGCTGCGCGGATGGACACACTAGAGGCAGCCAGAAAAGGCGTCAGTGAGGAAGTTTCTGAAAAGGATGATTGAAGAGCTGAGTACAGGGATGTGCGGGCCAGGCTCCAGAGTGTTGCATTGGTGCCCCCTTCTGGCTGGTAAATGACAGAGCTGGTGAAAATGGTCCTTGGTGACTTGTTAACTTCTCTAAAGTATACTGTCGCCAAGGTAGATAGATCATGAGCTGGAGGCCCTTGCCGTAGGAGTAGTTTTACTTTCCCTTTGAACAGCTAGTTTTCAAAGTAGCGAGGTTAATATTTTCTTGGACTAATGTTAGGATTCACACTTTGAGACAGGAAGATCCTCCTTGATGTCTTCCTTCCCCTACCCACTTCTGATTTTTGATCGTTAAATTGAAGGTGGCAAGTGGAAGCACTCATCAGACCTTTCATTTCCAAGCTGAAGCATTAGGAGGAGAAGCATGCCTAGTACTTCCTTTCAAGGTCTTTGCAGAGAGCCAATGAACTGCTGTAACAACAATCTGTCTATAGTTTGATCATTTATTTAGTGTGCCAGGCCCTGTGTGAGGTGCTGGTGGCACAAAGGTGTGTGGAGAGACTCTTTGTCCTGGGAGAGACTCTAACATAGCATTTTGGAGTCAGGTGGACCTAGCCTTGAGTCCTGGCCCCACCATTTATGACTGTCTCTCTAAGCCTGTTTCTTCATCTCTCAGATGAGGATAATTGTATTGACCTTGCAGGGTTTTAAAGTCATGTAACATAATAAGTGCCCAATAAATGGAGGCTAAATTTTAAAAGGTATGCACACAGATGCCAAGAAGAGCTTGCTGTCATGGCTTTCCTCACAAGCCTGTCCTGCTTTCTCCAGGGTGTGCTTTTTTTTTTAAGACAGGGACTCGCTATATAGTTTGGGTTGGTCTTGAACTAAGTATGTAGTCCAGGCTAGCCTTGGATCACAAGGATCCTGCTCCCTCATCCTCCTGAGTACTGGGATTACAGACATGAGCAACCATGCACGGCTTCCAGGGTGTACTTTTGCCTTGCTTTTTTGTTTTTCACTCAGCACAAGCTTGCTCTGCAGAGTCAGTTTCTCTCTCACACTTCACTTTGTCAAATAAACTTTGCCACTTAAGAAAAAAAAAAAAAAAAAAAAGGTACGCACAGATGAGTGAGACAGATATAGAGAGACAGCTCTAACTCACTGTGATGGCAAATACAGTGGGGGGACGTAGGGCCCACAAGAGCCCAGGACTGTTAGTGTGGAACCCTTAAGAACGCTTCCCTGGACCATTGTTGGTGACTCTCTCCTGGCTCTTCTCTTGCAGGCCTACTTTTTTGATGCACCAGAGATGGACCACCTCCCAACAGCTACAGCTACTCCTAACCAAACTGTTGCAGCAGCCAAGTTCAGCTAAGGAGAAAAGTAAGAGATTATATTTGTATCTTGTTGTGTGGTACCGTAGAAGATGAGCGGGTGTGGCACTCACTGTTAGCATGAAGAACAGAGAGGTCCGGATGCTTTGCCTGCAGTGTGTGTGTGTGTGTGTGTGTGTGTGTGTGTGCATGCGCGCGTTCACGTGTGCACATGTCTATATATGTGTCCTTGTGGTTGAAAGCTTCAGGTTTGGAGTCCATGTGATATTGGCCTCCTAAGTTGAGGAACATGAGTTTTCAGTCCTACTGTAAGAGAAGCCCCTGCCTTTGTCCTGCTATCGCCCTTCCTTTACTCCATATATCCTTTCCAGCAACTCAGTATGGGTTGGTTTCATGACAGTTCAGGTAGTTTTTCTAGTATCTCTGTGGCTTCTCCTGCTGGCTCAGACCCTGGATTGACCCCTCTTAAATTACTCCTGGGATTCTCCAAAACCTTCTAAACTTTTTGTGCCTTATTTTTGTGCCTTTGAGGAGGTGATCCCACTGTCAGTGGCTAGTACAGTGGGTTAAAGAGAGTACAGGGGAAATATTCAACCTCAAGCCTTGCAATTGCTTGTTCCGCATTCTTAGTTAACCCAGGCTGTAGCCATGCTGAACTGTGTGTGTGTGTGTGTGGTACTGGAGAGTGAACCCAAGGCCTCACATGTGCTAAGCAAGCCCTCTACCACTGAGCCACACCCTCCATTCTTGGAATAGATTATGTTAGATACTTGCTGTTGCAGTTGTCTGAAATGTTTCTACCCTTCCAATAGTCATCACTAGTGATCCTGTTGTATTTTATATCACACATATATCACTCATTGTCTATCTGTGTGTCCATTTATCCTCACATTAATTTGTTTAGTCATCTAGTAATCCATGGGTCCTTTATGTGCTAGTGTGTCTGCCCAGTGAGAGTCAGCTCCATGAGAGTAGCTTTCATTGCCCACCCCATAACCTGGTGTCATCGGATGCTCAAACATTTGTGGAATAAATGAATGAAGCCACTCTCTGTACATGATCTCACTGTAGTCCGGGGATCTCTCCTGTACTTTGTCATCACCAGCTGTCCTTTCTGCCCTAGCTGCTGTCCTCCAGGGTAGGGAGTGGAGTAATCTATGCAAAGGCCAAGGGTTTTATTGTCAAGTAGAATTACAATTAAATCCTATTCCTGCCATGTACTAGCAATGTGCCTTGGCCAAGGGGCTTACTCTCTTTGACCCTTAGTTAATTATCTATAAACCACCTGTGTTACAAGATCAGGCACCTGCCTATAATCCCAGTTGCTTGAGAGGCTAAGAGCAACACATGTTTGAGCCCAGCCTGGGTAATTTAGCAACTTAGAGAGACCCTGTTTTAAAAAATATAAAAATAGCTGGGGATGTAGCTATGATGGACTCTGGGTTCAATCCCACTATCCCCCACCAACAGAGTGAAGAATAGAGATAGTGTTTATAAAAAGCTCCTGCACACACTTGCTCATAACACTTTTAATTCCAGCACTCAGGAAACTGAGGCAAGAGGCTCATGAGTTCAAGGCCAGCTTGGATCACACATCTAGACTTTGTCTGAACCCTTTCCCAAAAAAAACCCTTCCCCATTGCTAGTAGACCAAGAATGTGTATGGAAATTTTGTGGTTCCCACTGATTTTACTTTGATCCTTTATTTTCTTTTTGAAAAACAAAGGGGATTTCCTCTCTTAATTTAGGAATTCAGGTTGCACGTCCTGTAATCCACAAGATGTGACAATCAAAGCTGCCTCCAGGGATCTTGTTGGTAGGACTTTCTCTCTAGTGAATGGACTGAGCAGGGAACTATTATAAACTGCCACAGGCCTTGCTCTCCCTGCTTCCTCTTTTCTCACAGGTGTGTGGTGTTAGAACCCAAGGTCAAAGCCCTGGAGACAATATGGTATGCCCTCCTCAACTCACAAGAAGGAAGCCAAGGCCTTACCCAAGGCTGCCTGAGTTTGGTTCAGAGTGATATGTGTGCATCTCATTTCATTTTATAAAACACTGTACCAGTCACTCTCATTGCTGTTCTCACCAGCCCTGTCCACCTCGCTGTACAGATGAGGCCAGACTAAGTCAGTTGACTGAGAGATCTCCTGTCCACTTAGAGGCAGAGCTGGGATTGACTCTAGGTCTTGGGGAGATGATTTCTGAGTTTTTCTGCTCTCCCATTTGTTTCTTTGACCTCTGAAACTCAAAGCTGCACTGCTGGCATTCAGCTTTCATTCGGCTTTTTTTGGAGCCCTTTGCTGCTCTGGCAATGCTGTAGCTCTGAGGTCCCCACACTTTTTAACTGCATGTCCTGTCAGTCTTAAACAGGTTTAAGTTTGAGGTGACTTCTCTGTTGCTGCCCTGCAATAGCACTGAAGATTTAGCTCCTTATGGTTTCTGGGGGCAGGGAATAGAGGCATTGCTCAGCTTGCTCCTCTCCTTCAGGTGTGGGCCAGGCCTGGGGGCTCATCCACATGCCGCACTGGGGTGGAGCTACCAGCTCACGTGGCACCAGCAGGATACAGTTTGTTGTAGCTTGTTAGGAAAAGGGCCGCCTTGCTAACTCTCTAGTGGAGGCCACCCTTAGTTCCTTATTGGGTGGCCTTTTCATCTGATGGCTGTTTCTTAAAAGCCATAAAGGGAGAGTCAATAGAGAGTCTGTTAGCAAGACAGTTACAGTCTCATAAACTTGAAAATGACATTCATCACTTAGCCGTATTTTGTTGGTTAGAAGCAAATGACAGGAGAAAGGGATAACACAGGGCATGAATACCTTGAGACAAAGATTGTTGAGGCCATTTTCAAGTCTTTTCTACAAGTACAAACTGGTGTAGTATGTGTATATTTGAAATATCTGCATATACCTTTGTTTGTCCATTGGTAGCTATTAAAGCTTAGCTCTATTTTAAAAAATAAAATATAAGTAGAAGTTCTAATAGCTCCTTTCACTGCCTCAGTGGTTTGGCTTTGGAGCCTCTTGCCATAGAATAAACAATTGGTAGTTCTGGGTATCACGGTTAATTGTCTGCACCCTTGTTCAGCTCATTCTTCAGATGGACTCCCCAACCCATTGCCCCTTCATAGTAGGAGGATGGATGAGCCCTCATAAGGTGAAGGCACAAATCAGGCTTGCCCCTTTCCAAAGGTGCCTGGCTTGCTGGGCTCAGGGCCATCCTTTAGTCTTTTCATTTACACCTTTATTGACAGTGCTCTGGCCTCTGTGCACCAGGACTTGGGGACCTAGAAAATCAGATTCAGTCTTGCGTCATGGTGGGGCAAACAGCCTAATAGATGATGCTATGTGGTATGAAAAGTGCCTTAGGCATGCTGTCAGCTGAGCACCGTGTGACTCAGGTGGCTTCAAGGGATGAGAGTGGGGATCCTTGTTTGAATGAGGCCCTGAGTAGCAAGAAGAGTAGCCTGCTTCAGGCCGATCAGGGGAACATGGTGACATGACACCATGTGTGTTCCAGGGCACAGTTGCCTGGACCTCTCCCTTGGCCCAAGATACCCGACATCAAATTTGTGAGGGATACTTTTGATGTCCTCCTGAGTGGGACTTAGTTCCTTCTTTGCCTTTCCTTGTAAGGCTCCAGGCCAAGAACCACAGGTGCTGTAACGTGGGAATCAAGCAGTGTCTGAGGAGAGCTGGGCTCTTGGGGTCCTTGAGTTCAATCTTGGGCTCCATAGTCTTGCTCAGATCTGTAAACTTAGGTGTTGGCACCTCCATTTGGGTGTCATGACTCCAAATGAGATAGTGACGAACAGCTCCTTTGCAGTCTCCCTGACAGAAGCATCCATCGCTTTGCCAAGAAGAGAGGCTGTCCAGGCCCTGAGCACTGCAGACTTAAGAGCTGGCTGTGCCTTCTGCTCTAATCTCTGGACTCCAGGTCTCACCAAAATAGAATGGCTTCTAATCCCCATGATAATCTTCCCCATGTAAATCTGTACATTGGAAGCCTTAGCCTGGAAGTGGTCTCTGGGAGGGCATTAACTTCTTCTCTCCCTGAAACCTCAGAATCCCAGGGGAGCTTCTGATTACTTGTTAAGTAGGGAATCTTCTCCTACATTAAGTCACAGGCGTGGTATGAAGAATGTCTGGCTTCTGTCCTTCTTTCTTCACTAACTTCCTGTCTGAAGGCATTGCATATTTCTTCTGTGAGCCAGGACCCTCGTATAGCCTGGGAAGTGGACCTGGGAAGCTCATCTTTGGCTTGAGGGATGGAACCTGTGAAGGACCACAGAGTTGGCTGCCTTCCCTTGGGCGGTGACAAGTGCTTCAGTCCATAGGCCTCCAGCAGATAATTGTACTGCAGTGTGATAAGGGCTTTAATAATAGATGAACAGAAGGCTTCTGGAGAGTCCTTTGTAATTAAAATCCTACTGTTTGATACACAGGGTCTGCATGTAATTATCTCTTTACTTGCTCATGTTGAGAGCATTCATTTTATAAGCCACTTTGCTGGGTTTATACAAATCGATTCTTTAATTCTAAAATCAGCTTTAACTTGGTGCTGTGATCTCTACTAGCACAGCATCCAAACTGCATGAGGTCTCACCGTCACTGATGCTGCTTTCCGTCCTTTCCACAGGTCTGCTGTGCCCCTGCCCAGAGAACACATTTTCATCCTCTGAGCCATTTCTTTCTTAGTTCTCTTTGTTGTCCCTTTTCTTAGCAGTAGATTGGGGGAACCTGGGACAGCAAATAGGTCAATACAATAACTTTTTATTCTTTTAACTTAATGGAAGATTTCTTTTTTTTTTTTTAGTACTGGGGATCAAACTCAGGCCCTTGTGCTTGTGAGGCAGGCGCCAGAACCACTGAGCTAAATCCCTGGCCCTGGAAGATTTTAACATAGACAAAAGTAGAGTAGTGAATGCAAATTTACTACTTGTGTTATACTAATTATTTTGTACTGATTGTTTCAGCAGTTGCCAACCTGATCAGCATTCACCAATCTGTTCCCCACCTCTTCCTCTACATTGTTTTGAAGCAAATCTAAAATTTCATTATTTCAGGCTGGGGATTTAGCTCAGTGGTTCTGCTGCCTGCCTTGCAAGTGCAAGGGCCTGAGTTCTATCACTGGTTCCAAAAAAAAAAAAAAGATTAAAATTCCATTATTTCATCCATACATATTTAAATTCTTAAAAACACAACTACAATACCATAGTCACATCTAAAAATAACTCTTAAATAGCAGATATACAGCAGTACTTGAATTTCAGAATACTTTTTTTTTTTGGTACTGGGGGTCAGACTCGGGACCTTGCGCCTGTGAGGCAGCAGAGGAACTACTGAGCTAAATCCCTGGCCCGGAATACTTTTCAAATGTCATAGCTTGGTATGGTGTTACACACTTTTAATCCCAGCACTCGAGAGGCTGAGGCAGGAGGATCACTGGAAGTTCAAGGCCAGCCTGGGCTACGTAGCAAGACCCTGTCTCAAAAAACCAAAAAAAGGGTGGGGGATTTAGCTCAGTGGCCCTGTGCCTGCCTTACAAGTGCAGAGTCCTGAGTTCGATCCCAGGTCCCCCCCCAAAATACATGAAAAAAAAAGAATACTTTTCAAATATCATAAAAAATTCAGCTTGTTTCAGTCGGATCCAAATAAGGTACACTTATTGTAAGTGGTTGATGTGTTTAAAGTATCTATTCCTACTTCGACTTTCTTTTACCCTGTTACTGTTGAGGAATCATTTATCTTACAGTTTCTCGCTGTATGCATTTTGCTGATTATATCTGCATGATTCATTTAACATGTTCCTCTGTGTCGCGAGCCGGTGACGCAGAGCACTGTCCCGCAGTGTCTCAAACCTGAAAGAGCAGCGGGGTGGAGATGGGGCAGAGAGAAAGGAAGGACGCCAAGACAAGAGTCTGATCAAGGCAGCGTTTATTGCCGGCAAGCACCGGCCTTTTAAAGCAAAAAACCACAAACTATTATGGGATGGGTTTACCATAGTAACTGAAAGGTCACACAGGAAAAGAGCAAGCAGGTTCAACAAAAACAACCCACCGTGAGTAGTAGTAACCCGGACCACCACACATCTAAAGGTCAGAGACAAGAAACTGTAACTTTCAGGAATTCCACAAAGGAAACACTCTACCTGCTAAACTGGAGAAATTTAACACATATAGAGTTACTAAAGTTAACAATACTTACAACCAATACTCATGATCCCCACACCTCTGCTCTCTGAATTACTGGTTGGATCTAAAAGCTCAAATTCTTTTTTTTTTTTTTGTCAAGACCTCTTGATGTGGGTTGTTAGATTCTTTCCTCCCAAACTCATTACATTTATATCTAATTATCTTTCTTTGATGTTAGTGGCCAATAGTGAGCAGTGCTTAAATCTATTAATCCATTAGGGCTTTTAAAATGGTGATATTTCAATTTCATCTTTGTTTGTTTGTTTATTTTTGCTTTTTGAGACAGGATCTCACTATGTAGTTCAGACTGCTCTGAAACTCACTATGTAGCCCAGGTTGTCTTTAACTCGCAGTGATCCTCCTGCCTCAGCCTCCAGAATGCTGGGATTACAGGTGTGCACCACCATTCCTGGTTCATCCTTGTTTATTAACTAGAATACTTCATTAGTAAAAGCAGACTTTGTCTACTATTTGGTAATTTATATGACAAAGACAAGAGAAATGATGCCTCTTCTTTACTTAGCACCTTTCAGAGCAGTGGTGTTTTCCCCAAGACTCTTTGTCAGTGCTCATTTGCTGTAGTATGTTACTGATATTTGTCCTGTCTTTGACCATCGGGAGCCTCTTGGGTTGACTCCTGAGTCTTGCTGACATGCAGGTTTCTATGGCAAAATATTCCAGCCTCATTTCGAGTATTTCTTATAGCCCAGGCCATTTCTCTGAGGAGTCCTTTGTTCCTCTTGGGGAAGAGGTATTTCAAGGGCACAAGCGAGGTTCCAGTGACACTCACTGCAGTGGCTTGGGCACTGTTGTCAGGCATGGTCAGTGTTCAGAGCCAGGGAGTATATTTGTCTGCTTGTTTGTTTTTTCACTTTTGGAAGAAGATACATTGTGAGTTCACACTGATGCTTCCAGTTCCTGTTTAATAGTACAGGGTTTACTAACTGTGTTTATCTTATTATCTGCATCTACTTCTGCCTTCCAAGGATCTTGTGTCTCAGCGATGCCAGTGTGAGAGAGTCTAATAAGTACTTGTTTTACGTCCCATATATTCACAATAATCATAATAGCATCAGCACTACCACTAATTAGTGGAAAGTTTTTTTTTTGGTACCGGGATCAAACTCGGGACTTTGGCGTTTGTGGGGCAGGCAGCAGAACCACTGAGCTAAATCCCTGGCCTGAATTTTATTTTTCTTTACATTCTAGTATGCCCTAATGCCCTTCCTTTCCTTGTCTACTTGGGTTTTTGTTTTTTTGTTTTTAGAATTCAGGCTGACCTTGAATTTACTAGGTAACCCATGTTGGCCTCAAACAATGATCCTCCTGCCTCAGCCTCCCAAATGCTGAGATTACACGCATGTGCCAACATACCTGGCAGCAGTTTCTTAGTGATTCTTCTGGGCCCACTTCAGATATGCTTTTCTTGTCCAGGTGATACTATTTCCTTCCTTCTTTCTGCTATTCTACAGCTCTTATGTTTGTTGCAATTTGCTTATTTACTGGACTTCATAGACTGCAGTTTCCTCAGGGCAGAGCTTTTCTCACCAATACGGTCCTATCACCCAGCAGACATTCAGAGAAAACTTGAAATAATAATAAAATAATAGCTGGTGTGCATATCATATGGCACTTTCCTGGCCAAGCTGCTTGAGAGATGTTTTCTTGGGAGGTGCCATTGATTGAGGGTCTATTCTGTGCTCCGTACCTAGGTTCTGGGGTGTATAATGGAGTACTGTCCTCACATTTCCAAATTTTACATCCCAATTTTTATTTTATTTTATTTAGTTTTTGTTTTTTTGGGACAGGGTCTAACTGTGTATTTCAGGCTGGCCTTGAAATCACTGTGTAGCCTATGCTGGTCTCAGGCTTATGGCTGTCCTTCTGCCTCAGCCTCCCAAGTGCTGGAATTGCAGGTATGCGCCACCACAGTTGGCCCTTATTTTGTATCTCGTGCACACAGACTAGAAGGCCCTTCTACATAGAGCATTGTAACTGTGGGACCTTCTTATTGGAACACTCCAGGCCAGGCAGTGGTGACATTGGCCAGGCTTAAGTGTGGGGCTGGGACGAGGGAAAGGGCAGGGAATTCCTGTGCCATGGCTGGGCCACCTGTCCTATCTTTATCATACACAGTATTCGGAGTTTGACCATCTCTTTTCTTTTTCTCCTTCTAACATATCTTGTTTCCATCCACAGGAGTCTTTTGAAAATACACTGGATCATGCCTTTGACTGCATTACTTCCCTGCTTTTTTGGGGGTGGGGTTATTTTGAGAGGATCTTGCTGTGTAGCCTAGGCCATCCTTGAACTCATTACATGACCCAGGCTGGCCTCAAACTCATCTTTCTGCCTCAGCCTCCCAAGTGCTGGGTTTACAGGCATGCTTGCTTCCTTACTTAACAGGATGTGATAATGCACGCCTGTAATCCTAGCACTGTGGGAGGCTGAGGCAGGAGGATAGCAAGCCTGAGCCCAGCCTGGGCAACTTAGCAGGACCCTGCCTCAAAAAGAGAAAGGGTTGAGATACAGCTCAGTGTGAAGGCCCTGAGTTCAATCCCCAGTATTGCCAAACACACCATACTTATTTTTTGCATCCCATTGTCTAAAGAAGAAAATCCAAACTCCCTCTATTGCAGTGATCTGACCCTGCCCTGTGACCTGCTTCATATCCTTGTGTTTCATCCACCACACACAGATTTCCAGTTCCCAGATCTTTTTAAGTTCCTCTGTGTCCACTTTATTGCTTCTGCTCTGGTGCCTAACAGCTCCCAGAGAGAAGGTGAGCGAAGTTTAGCATGGGGATCTGGGTGGCGTAAAGTCCCTGGATTTCCATGGAAATAGAGTAAAGCTTTTTAAAGTCAGTTCTCTGCCAACAGTGATTTCCACTTTGAGCACAGAAATTAGGGTTCAAGGCTCAAGATTCTGGGAGTTAGTGGTTAAATTAAACATTATATTGCAGTGATCTGACCCTGCCCTGTGACCTGCTTCATATCCTTGTGTTTCATCCACCACACACAGATTTCCAGTTCCCAGATCTTTTTAAGTTCCTCTGTGTCCACTTTATTGCTCCTGCTCTGGTGCCTAACAGCTCCCAGAGAGAAGGTGAGCGAAGTTTAGCATGGGGATCTGGGTGGCGTAAAGTCCCTGGATTTCCATGGAAATAGAGTAAAGCTTTTTAAAGTCAGTTCTCTGCCAACAGTGATTTCCACTTTGAGCACAGAAATTAGGGTTCAAGGCTCAAGATTCTGGGAGTTAGTGGTTAAACTTTAAACATTAAACATCCTTTCCTACAATGTAGCTCCACTTTGTAAGGGAGAAGCTCTGTCTTGAAAGTTACTGTTTTGTTTTTCAGTTCTCTTTCATATACTGGGGAGCTTGGTTCTTCTGGACCTGGCATCTGCTGCAGGAAAGCAATGGCCAAAGCCAGCAGGAAATGGACAGATGGCTCTGCACTGAAGCTCATCACCTATTAATAAACAAATTAAATGCTGGCCTAGGTGTGGCTCAGTGGTAGAGCACTTACCTAGCATGCCTGAGGCTCTGGGTTTCATTCTCCAGCACCACAAAACAACAACCAAAACAAAAATTAAATGTTCTTCAGCACACGTGTGTGTCTGCTCTTCTTTTCCACCCATTGATTGCCACTGAATGCGCTGATTGGGAGTGAAATGGAAGGGAGTAGGTCCACCATTTGCGTTCCCTCCCAGTCACCTCCCAATTAGGTGATGGGCTTTCCTTTGGGGCCACGTCCAACACCTGAACTTCTGCTGTCCTCTAAATTATGGTCAGGTCATCTGCCTTGGTGATCCTCCTCGTTTCAACTGTTTGTCCTCCTCAAGTAGTCAAACAGGAATCTTTGGTTGAAGTTAATTGGTAATTTGAAAATTCATCTTGGTTGCAAGATAACTCACATTCTGGGAGTGGTGATAACTCCTCTCACTCTAGTACTTGGGAAGCTGAGGCAGGAGGATTGCTGCAAGTTCAAGGCCAGCCTGGGCTATGTAGTGAATTCCACACCAGTCTGAACTACATAGCTAGACCTGTCTCAAAAAACCAAAAACAAAAAATTAAAAGTAAATAACTCACACAATGTCTGTGTCTGCGATTTCATGACACCTGAAAATTTTCCTTGATATTTTATCTTTACCATGCTCCAGGCTGCTAGGAATTTGATTTAATGTACTTGCTGTTAAGATATATGAGGTAGGGCTGGGGATTTAGCTCAGTGGTGCTACCCCTGCTTCGCAAGCACAAGGTCCTGAGTTTGATCTCCGGTACCAAAAAAAAAAAAAAAACAAAAAAAAAAAAAAAAAAAAAAAAACACGA